TCCAACTTAATATTCCCTAGAATATAAAATAATAATCTTTTAAGTAACTGCATAAGCTTTGTGAGTAAGTGGAGTCGAAGCTTTGTCTAAGAGCTTTCACAAACTTCTTAACAGTTTTGAAAGTCTAACACCCAAATTCATAAGAAATACAGAAAACTTAAAATGCTATATAAATTTTTTTAAATCATTTTTTAAATTGTGATAAATAACGCCATAAGTTTAAAAATTTTAAATACATTGAAAATGTGCTGAGATAAGGCGTTTTCGATCTTCCACTCAGGTACCGATATACCATTTCAAAAAACTTAAGGTGATTACGTCAACATATTTAGGGAGTAGCAAAAAATTTTCCAGCAGCATAAAATACCTTTTTTACTCATTACGCTGTAGGGAAAATCTCAATTTTTCAAATGATGCAAAATAAAAACCCGAAAGACATAAACTTAAAATTGGGTCGTAGATCTGTATAGATACTGCTTTTCTAGTTCAGATCATTTTCCCAAGATATTTTCATTTTAAGTTTGCATTGTGAATGACAAAATTTAAATTTAAATAGGGAAAAATTTTAAAATAACAGATTTTATTTTTTTTTTCATTTGTATTAAAGCCTGTTTTTTCTTTGGAAACAAATCAAGGTACTGACGATGAAAATCTATTGGTAAATAAAGAAGTTGCGAATGTTCAAATGAAAATGTGCAAAAATTTTTTGTGTGAAGTAGGAACAGAAAATTATGTTGCTCATACGCCATGTCGTACATGGCCGCACTGTACATGCACGCACATGGCGTATGAGTAACATTTTCCATGTTAAAGTTTGATTTTCTTTAATTCGCAATGCAAACGTAAAATAAATATATCTGGGGAAAATGATCTTGATCGTTTCGCAAAAACCATGTAAGTCCAAATTTTACTCTTTGTACAAAAATTAGGAAACTTCGACAAATTTCTATCAAAAGTTCCAACTTTTTCGATCAGAATTTTAAGAAATTTTTTTATAACAAAATGAAACTTTAGTTAAATAGCAAGGACCTTCTGTCTATACAAAACGTGTATGTATGTTCGAACAGTTTTTTATATGAAGGAAAATGTACAACATCGTCAGCAAAAAAAAAATTGCCAAAAATTAATGGTAGCCTAGACTAGCCATTCAAAACTTGCATACCTACAGTGACGAGCAAAACTGTAACATGGTGTAACACTTTTTAACTCATCCACCGCTATGTTTCCAAGTCCTGACGACTTTCATCCTTTTGTTGTACATTCTTGTTGGTACATCCCTACTCCCTCTCTCATACCGATTTGAAGTCAATACAACAACAATAAAAAACCCAGCAGACAAAAATGTAAATAAAGCCAAATGTTACAGTTTTGCACTCACTCTCAGTTTTGCATTTTACAGTTATTTTTTACTTAGTTGGAAGTCAGATGACTTTTTTCAGTATTGTAATTTATTGAAGAAGTAATCACCAGTAAATAATATAGTTAATCAGGAACCATAAATGTAAATAATAAATTTACTGTGGAAAGGCGGGACCGCAGGAAAGTGGCAAAAAATTTAAAATATTTAGATTGATAAAAAATATAGCCTAAAGTGTTCCCAAGGGCAAAGGAAGTCTATCAAAAAATATTACGGTCCAATATCTTGTGAACTTAGCAGCAAGTAGCGATGCAGCCACTATTACAGAAGCGCTTAAGGTATTAAAATTGAATGCAAATCAGTAGACAGCGAGGCGAAGAATTGTCAAATTGAACGCAAAGGCATAATAAGGGAAGAAAAAACCATTTTGATCAAAATACATGTGCGAGAGTGGTAGCATTTTGCCGGATCGTACGAAAACCGGACCGTTGCCTATTGGGATATGTTAGGCCGTTCAGAATGCAATAAAAAACATATTTTTAAATTTCAATTGAAGGTTATTTGGTCTGACAAGGCTAAATTAATCGCTTTCAATCAGATGGCCGGGCATGGTATTGGATCAAAGACCCAAATTAAGCCCATGCGCATCATGTAAGGCAAACTGTGAATCACAGTGGTCGGTCACTAATTGTTTGGGGTTTTATTTAAAAAATCCGTTAGTACGCATTATGCGTAAGGAACAGCATCTGTTCATATTTCAACAAAATTTGCAAGATGTAGTCGAAAAAATGAGAGTTTCTGCTGAAAAATCACCCAAAACACACTGAACATGTTCGCAAAGCCTAGATACAAAAGCAAAAATTTGCTAATTTAAAATGACCTCCAAAATCCGCGTACATGAATCTCATCGAGAATTTGCGAAATCAACTAAAAGCACAGCTTAATAAGTATCAAAGTCCGTAAAATCGAGTACATGAGCTGTGAAAGCAAACTAAGGATATATGGAGTATATACCTCCAGAAGTTTTACAGAGATAAAAATAAGGTATGCCAAATCTCACCCAGAAACTAAAACAAGCAAAAGGGTACTGAACATTGTGTTAGTAGTTCTTTTTTCTCGTTAAAATTGTTAAAAAGTTCTTAAAAATATATGAGTGCAAAACTGTAACATCTGCCTTAATTTACATTTTGTCTGCTGGTTTTATTATTGTTGTTGGATTGACTTCAAAACATTATGAGAGAGGAAGTACAGGTGTACCAATAATAACATACAACAAAAGTATGAAAGTCGTTAGAACTTGGAAAGATAGCGATGACTGAAGTAAAAAGTGTTACACCATGTTACAGTTTTGCTCGTCACTGTACATATTTTTAAGTTCGGAACAAAAGGTTTGAAATTTTGATGAACATTTTAAAATTTGTCGAAATTTTATACACAAAATGGAATGCTGGGGATGCTCAAAGCCAATATGGATGTCAAACTAGCGTGAAAGGCGAAGTGTAAAAGAGTTCGAAGTGGCGTCTGTGGAACTGGTATTAAATTTAAACCAAAATTTTGTTACAAATATATTAGTGTACACCTTCTTTGCATAGCTGATTACCTTGCCACACGTGCCTTAATCTTTTGCATACTTAGTTTTTCGGTTATAAAATGAAAGCCCTAAAATGATTGGAAAACTAAAGATATTCGTAACTATGTATTCGACATACATATGTCCATAGTTAAAGGCATAAGAAAGTGAAACAGGAATGTTTACTTGTATGCCTATCATGAGGGAGGAAATTATAAAATCTGGCACATAAAACCCAACTAAATGCACGTAAAGAAGGGCTTAAAATTTCTCTCCCATTCCTGCAAATTGAGCGACAGCGCGGGGCATACTAAGGAGGCTGTTTGAGCCACAAACAAATATGTACCAGTTATCTTGCCAGCGATTACTAAATACTATTAAGTATGCATATCCGGCGGTGACACTTTTTGTTGGCGGTTGCCTAAAGTTCATATGAAAAAAAACCCAATTCACAAAAGTAAACCTCTTCAGCCGAGACTTTACTGGAGTTAACATTTCTACTACATTTCATGCATAAAATTACACACGAAATGCGAGTACGTATGTATATGTAAAAGCGTGCGATGCCTATAAGCGATTACTTTTTTGCTCTTCATGTTTTTTCCCGGCAGCCCGTGCCGAGTTGGGCAATAAATCCTTGAAAGTGACATGACATGACAAACAGGATTACAACGAGCGCATGAGATTAAACATGCTGCTTGATATTTATTTGTACGTCTGCATGGAGTTTGCGGATATTAGATATTTAGGCATTTGTATTTAAGTGAGAGGGCATATGACTTGGCAAGTGTGCGTGTGGCACGAAAACTATTTTATGTGATGGTGTACAGAGTCGTGTGGAGCTTAAAGCGGATGTAATTAGTTTAAAACGTTTGGCGCTTGAAGGCTGCTTGATATCATTACATACCAGCGGAGAATATTAAAATACTGTGAGCCAGTTTGTAAGGTGTAGTCAGTGGTGGAAGCAAGCTCAAACGTAAAGTGACTAGCTAGTTATGGTTTTGACTAACGAGGCATACATATTTGAAAAGCTTTGCGAAATGGTAACGGTGAATGTTTTTATAATTTTCATTAATTGATTTCCAAAGTTGTTGGCTAATTAGCTCAATATACTTAAAAAGCTTAGCATAAGGAAAGCTTTTCAAGGGCATTCGACTCTTTTATTGAAAATCTAAGCTGCTCTCCTCCTCTAGTTATGTACATATGTATATGTGATCTCACTAAAGCTCAAAAGCTGTTTAGCAAAAATTTTGAAGAGCTTTAAGCTCTAAGCTTGCGCATTATTTGTAGATATGCTTTGCAGCCTGTTATTTTAGGAATAGGTATTACAAATTTGTTAAAGGGTTTTTCGAAAATGAAAAAAAATAATAGTTGTAAGGGAAAGCTCAAAGCTTTCTTCTGCGGGTAATATGTAATGACCATAATAGAGCTGCTGCGAAAAGTAAGATCTGCTATGAAAAAGTTAATTATAAATCCCATGACTTTTAAGAACGCCATTGAGTTGTAAGCTTATTCTTTTGTAAGCTTTCAGGCAGGCAGCTTATCAATCATTCGAGTTAATAATAGAATTTTTTAACAAATATGAGCTTTTGTTCTACATTATATTGAAAAGCTTATTGTGAGAATATGGTTAGTGAAAGCTCATGTATATAAAGCAGTGACGCTCAGGGAGAGCTTTTACTCTGTAAGCGCCCATATAAAATCTACGCTAGCGCTGATCTAAAGGGAAGTGAGTACCGTTTAGGAAGCGCTAGTTCACCTCATACGTCGGCGGAATACGTTGAAAGTGTCTTCAGATAAACATATTTACGTCCTTTGAGGTATTATTTAATAATTGGTGGAAATGTTAAACGACTATGCTTATCAAATTGTAGTGGGCTTTTTCATCCTTAGCTATCTGTAAAGCGCTTAACCGACACTAACTAAAGCTCATTGCATTCGTTTTCAGTTGCATTCAGTTTCCATTACAGTTTCGCTCGAAACAGCCTATACAAATCGCAAATTCTGTTTGTCCTACGCCCCAACGTCAAGTGCGTCATCTCACAATTGCACTCTATTCATCTTTTCACTTACCTCTCAACAAAACTGAGACCGATTTTTGCCAAATATATGAAACCATGTATGGAGGAACCTTGCAGAAACTCAAAAACGAAAGCACGTCCTTTGCTCCAAATACCCACTTTTCCGTTGTGCGTACGCTTCTTTGCGCGTAAAATCCGCTTTAACGCTGTCGGCATCCATAGCCGCGGTCGACGCATGCATCGCACACTGTTAGCCGTTGAATGAAATTTTGCTCCTGCTACTAATTGCTGCTGGTGCTGCGTCTGTAACGCCTTCGTAGCAATATCTACATCTTTTGCCGCGCCATGCATAGGGCGACTCGCCACATATGAAAGTGGAACAGCGCCAGGATACTGTAATTTAGAATGATATGACAGCTTTTGTCCTGAGCCAGGCGTAACGAAGGCTGGCCGTGCTGGTTGGTATGCTACGCTCTTAGATTGTCGCCATGGTTGGCGATGGCTATGATCAGATGCAGCTGCTTTCGGCTTTGCTGTTGCTTTCACTAAAGGGCATGGGCTACGTTCGAATGGTTTTTGGTGTTCTAGCAGGGAGAATGTTGAGTTGGTCAACGAGTTTGCATTTGTAGAGTGTTCACTTGATTGCGAATATCGCGCATAGGTGTCGTCATATAAGTTACCCAAGTAAGTGTTATTGTCGCTGGAGAATTTGTTGTTTGTGTTGTTGCTGCTTTGGCTAGAGTTGCGTATACTATTGCGTGAGCGAATCATAACTGAGATTGTGTATTGGTTGATGGGCTTAAGCGCGCTGTGATTTTCAATAGGCTGCTGGGTATGACTCAATCCAATTTCGCTTTTATAACTTTCGAGTTGATGCGTCTGACACAGCTGAAGAAATGGAGAATTTTTCAATTTTGGTTTAGTTTTGAGGTAATGAGTTTTCGGAATTTCACGTACTCCTTGCGTGGTATAAAAGCGCCTGAAAAGTGGGGAAAAAATTAAAAAGTGTTAGTAGTGTTTGGAATTTGAATGCCTCTAATAAATTGTTCTTTTTTCCTTATTAAATTTTATACTTAATACATCTAATAGGAATTATATAAAGCCATACTTTGAACTTACTATGGACTCATTTGGACTTAGAAGGTGTCATATAATATTGACGTTGGTCGCATAACTGTAACTGTGTGTCCATTAAAATCCACAGATATTAAGAATCTGTTTCGTCATACACCCTTATAAATCAGTTCTTAAAACGGCGAAGTCTACCCTAAATTACATTAAAATTTTATCAAATCCAGTTAACACTTTGTTTATGGCCATTTTCCGCCGACCACTGTGCATGGTAGCTCATGTGAGCGCTTGCAGTTCATACTCTCTGTGAATTTATGCTCCATTTAAGTTCCACAATTTAATTAACACCAAACATTAAATGCCAATGTGAGCGACTCAAAGCTGTCGTGCTGCACAGGTACTTCAACAGCAGTTTCAGCTTGATAGTTAAAAGCGTTCGATAATTGCAAAACGCTGGCCGTCATGAACCATTTAATTGGAGGGAATGGTGCATACATACGCAATTATATGCATATGGATATGCATACATATACGATGTGCAAAACAGTCTCGCGGTAGCTACGGCAGCAGCGCGCTTGTGTGCTCATTTACCTTTTCAAGTGTAATCATTGCCATGCTAAAGCTACCACATGACTGCTTTCAAAGCTCTTGCACTCTGCACCTTCACCTTCGCGCTTGCCCATCAACTACCAATGCCCTTTTTAAAAAGAGTGTTATTTTTCTTTTCCCTTTGCTTTTTCTTTTTTCTTCCCCTCGTTATCAATGACGAGTTAATAAAGCCTTTATTATGATGGCTATCGCCAATATACAGATACACTCATTTGGCAGTAATGGAGCACAAAAACAAAAATAAAGAAAAATAAATAAAACATCGAAAACTGTTACGAAAATACGTTGAAACAAAAAAACGAAAAGAAAATAAAAATATTTGGTTTAACAATGCATTGGCAAGGGGATAAATGAAAATTGGCTCAGTGCACAAAGCATAAGCTCTGATAAAGAAATAAAAATGCTTTCCATCTCTGTAGGGAAATTTGCTATAAAGGAGTTTCTAATTGCAAAGTAGTCTCATTTTTGCTGTAGTCGTTATAGGTATTCGGCCGTATTAATATGTAGATATAAAAAGAAGCCTACAGCATCTCCTTGCACTTGTCAAATCAAATCACCATGAAATATTTAAGTAATTTCGCCTTTATTATACTATAACTATATTTTAAAAAGCAGTTCTGTAGAGGGAAAGTCCCAAGTTGGTATACTGATTGATCCAGAGTATTATGAAAGAGAGGGAGATAAACCCATTGCACAGTGCACCATTGCACTGGAGCCCTCAATTTTTACTCAATTTGATTATTTTTTAAATGAAAACCAATAAAATTTGCAACAGACCAGTTGCGCCCGAGTTTTCGAATTTTTGTTTGTTTGTATTAAATGTTTTGATTGTTTCTTTTAAATTTTTTAGTGCGAAAAAATAGCTATTTTGAGAAGAAATAGATTCTCATTTTCCAGTTAATAAATGTAAGATAGTAAAAACTAGTAGAAAACAATTTAGGGTTACCCAAAACGAAATAACAAATTTAAAAAAATTTCCACATTTATAAAAAAATGTTCACCAAAATTTATTTATTTTTGTTTGGTTTGTAGAAAAATTTTTGGTATTAAATTTTATATGTAATTAAATTTCAGTTCAATAAAGCGCAAGTTGCAAGTGGCTAAGAGTTCGCGTTGAATGATATAGCAACGCTTTTATTTCAAATATAGCATGCAGATGTGCTTGAAATGTTAGCGAAAAAATTACATATTAAAAATCAACGCGGCCTCTTAGCTACTTGCATTTTGCACTTTATTATATTAAAATTTAATGATATATAAAACGCCGTACCCAACATTTTTCTAAAAGGCAAACAAAATTTTAATTTTGGTGAACGTCTTTTTTATAAAATTAAAATTTTTTTCATTTAAATTTTTTTTTAAACAAATTTTTTTCGTATTAAATTGTTTCCAACTAGTTTTTATTATGTAACATTTATTAATTGGAACAGTAGAATAGATTTTCTTCAAAATTGCTACTTTTTTCGAGCTTTGCACTAAAAAATTTAATACAAACAAACAAAAATTCAAAAATCAGGCTCAGCTAATATTTCGCAAATTTTTTTGGCTTTTGTTTAAAAAAATTAAACAAATTCAGTGAAAAATGAAGGCTCGAGTAAATTGTGAACACTAAATACCAGTTTTGAACCATTGTGCAAACTATTCTAACCTGACTTGTTGATTGCTGCTCTGTTGATCTGTCTATGAACTGGCAGTCAAATTATTCCAGTCCTGATAAGGGAATGAATATTGAAAATTCACAATTCAGAGCTTACGCTTTTCCTACAGGTCATTCTTATCGCCATACATATCTTCAAACGAATATACGCTTGAAATATATACTTATACGTGTTACTATTCACATTTTCATTTCAAACGTCAATCGCTCGGCTTCCTTTTCTCTCCGCTGCCCTTCGTTACAATCTGAAACCTGTACTCTTCCGTGCACCTGTGTATACAGGTGTTAAAAGGTAGATGCGTATTTGTATTCGTGTGCGTTTATTATCCTTTTGGTAGTGCACGTGTTATAGCATACACAGACAGTTACCACTGCTTATGACCATTTCATTTACTTCATTTACCATTGAGCTCATTTAAATGCAAATTTAAATGAAATTGTAATCAGTTTAAAGTAGATGCAGTGGCCGAAAGTGAGAGAGGGGAGTAGAAGGGAAATGGTGGACGGATTTATGCACAGTGGATTGATTTGTTGCTAGTGGTGAGCAAATTCAGACAGTTTTGGTGATACTCGCATAATAATGGCTGAGTAGAAGATCTCGACTGTCGGTTCAAGAACGCCATATCTCTTAAGATAGGGCGTTTTCAAAGCGGCAGCGGAGATAGGGCGTTCTTCAACCATTTACCGTGATAGGACGTTTTCGAACGAAACGGATATATTCAGAGTTGTTCTACATATGTTTTCTGTCTATAAATATGCGGATAGAAAACTACTTCACATGTTTGAAAAGAGTATGTAGTAATGCAGGTCAAACGTCATCTATCAGACTACCCTTTCGGCACAGGGTCTATAAGCAAGAAGATAGAGTCCTTAGTGCAATGAACAAAATTGAGAATTGGTGCAAGTGATTATTTAAAGAAATGAAGGCATTAGTTGGTTGAGAAGTGTGTACATAACATTAGAGCGGTTGAGAGATATGCGCTATCAGAAGCTACGAATGCGGCCAGAGCATGGAAGCTTACCAGAGGACGGAAAAAATCTGCAAAATTCGGCGTAGCAAAGAAGCTTACTTTAAACCAGCGATGGGCAGATGGAGCTTTTACTCTACACGCGCCTATACAAAATGTATAGAAAGCTTAAAAGAGCTTTGCCTGCGGGCAAGGCAGTGCCGATAACCGTTTTGAACCAATTGCGATAGTTCAGCAGCGGCCTACAGGGGGTGCGTGCTAATACTTCTTAGGACCCAGTTTCGTTATCTGATCCGAAAAAGGACGAAAAACGTCAGCAGCCGGTCCTAAGAAAGCCATTAGAAACCTCTAAAGGTTCTGAAAAAATCCATCGTGGTTGTGTGACCACTCCAGGACACATGCTACAAATTGAAGGCCTCGAATTTCTTCGTCCCTTCCAGCCTCGTGGAAGCTAAAAGCTGTTGCACATTTTTTCAAAGTTGCACAAAAGAATCGCCACACTGTAAATACAATGAAGTATGCCATTTTAAGCGCTGACTGCTGGCAAAATAACAAAAATATCGACGAGCGCGGTCAACATGTCCTTTGATGTGCCACCTATAGCGCTCGACCCGTCGGCAAAGCAGTCCACCAATGAGTTGAAGGACCACACGCATACACACACAGTCACACACTAATTACCATAAATATATATAAAGAGCAGGCATAAATCGGCAAGACCATAAATGGATACATTTACAGAGAGTTACTTACTTATTTTAAGCCGAAAATCGAACCGAGTTGATATGCTTTTGTGGCGGTTTAATGCATGGAGTCACAAGCGCGCGGAGCTTATAGAGCTGTACAGCATTGCACACTTTATATATACACACACATACAAACATACGCGTTTCATGGTGGTCATTCAAACGTTTGGCTGCCTGCGACTCAAGGACATGCAATTAATCCATTCGAAATACTTGTCGTCAGTGAGTGTAAGAGTTTATGTGTATATATATATGTATGTATGTAGGTATTTGTGCATATGAGCATACGTTGGTAGCAACTTGTGGGTCCTTGGCAGTGCTGATGGACATATGTACATATGTATATGCATATATGAATTTATGGGCCCATGTGTGTGACCAACACTACATATAATCAGTTGCAATTTAAATGTACGTCGAACGGTGTGCACACAACCACAATTACTGGGTAGCCCTTACAAATATTTTTTTTCACATTTACATGTCTGCATACTCGCTTTTGTATTAAACGACGGAAAACATAAGAAAAAAAGTACTTAATTAAATGCACTGAAACAATAAGAATAAAAAAAGTACTCAAAATGGTTTTCAATAAAAAAAATAAATAATAATAATAAATAAATAAAACCTGCCATCTCTTTAACTGTTTGCTCTTTAGTCCAGCAGAAGAAATGTGTGCCTTTCTACCAACGCGTGCATTGGCATGGTGTGTTGCTTTCGCTGTAAATTCACTTGTGCAACTCATTAGGTAGCTCGGTGTATTTTCATAAGTACAGTGGTTAGCATAATAGTTTCTTATATAACCATACCTCATTGACATCCAAAAACCCAACCGGGACGCTATATAGAATCGATACACTGAGAACTTCATCACTGAAAGTTTTAAAATAAGCAAAGTTACTACCGACAATAAAGTTTCTGTCAATAG